GACGGTTGATTTTAACCTGCGGCCCGGCGTCGAAAAAAGTCAATTTCAAGCATTTAAAAATGAAGCAAGAAAATTTATGAAAATTTACTTTTTTAATATTGAACTTAAACAAATTTTCTTTTTTAACTTGAAAACAACGCCGGATCAGGGATATTTTAAAATTTAAATAAGAAAAGAATTTATAGATACAGATACTCAAATTTGTTATAAGAAAAATTTTATCAAAATAGACATAAAAAGAATGAACTGACTGAGAGCTTTCTCTTTTTTAAATGATAAATTATTAAATTATTAACTATCTCCAAGATTTTACTTCTATTTTGAAAGATAAAAGAAATAGTTTTTCTAATTTCAGTTTTCTTTGAATTTCATAATTATATTCAGTCAGACAAAATGTTTTTGTAGTGTTATATTTATCAAAAATTCCCATTAAAATCATGGAAACTAATTCTGTTAAAATCTAATGAAATTTTGAATTCATTTCAGTAACTTTTATAGAATCTGATAAAACTTGTAGAATTTAGAATGAATGTTTACGTAAGGACATACCAGACTTTTGAAATGACAAAAAAATTGTAATATCAGATGATAAATAGATACACATTCAGAAAAGATGTTTAGAAATTAAAAATTCATTTATGCATGCTGTGCCATAACATTTCAAATAAAACAAAAGAATATCATGTCTGTCATTTTTTCTTGTTGATTCTTGTTTGGTTTGTGTTCAAGTTTCTTTATGAAAATCTCGACTTCTGTTTGAAACCTTGAATCCTGTTTCCTTCGCTTTTCTTTATTTAATTACCACAGTTGAATTTCATCCGTTGTCAAACTTGGTGAAGTAATATTTGATAATTTGATTTCAACTTTTTATTATATTCGGTCAAAAAGATAAACAATAAAACATTAAAGGGACTGTAGTTGGAGTCAAGTGATCCTCAGTAAAGAGGAAAACGTCCTTTTCATACGTATTCTATATCTGATCAATAATGGCAAAGATATCCTCGTTTTTCTAGCATAAAAAGTGTTAAGTGCAGCCCATATGCTCCACTTTTACTGTGGAGAGAAACTGCTATTGAAAAGAATCAGTTTTTAGAGAGAAAAACTTGGATTTCTTATTCTTTCTCTAGATCAGGCAAAGCTTTTAGGGGTATCGTTTAGGGGTGTTAATTTTTTACGTTTTAGCTTACATTACCAAAATTTAATGTTCCGTTGACTTGAGCTTTCGTTTCTCTCCTTCTTTCAGAGGCGCAACGGCGAAATTATACTTTATAAAGGGAAAGCTTGGATATTTATCATTTTAACCATCCGTCCTTGTTGCTGTCCAGTCCTCTTGTAGCTGTAGGAGTGGGGGAAAGGGGTTTGCCAAAAAATACGAAAACACAGAATATTTCACCAGTCGGGCTTAGCTGCAGCTTTAGTCTGTCCTAGACGCAAAGTTCGGCCCAGAAATTGTCTTATCTTCACCTAAACTAAAATATTTAATATTCTCCAGCTGTATATTTGGGAAAAAAAGTTGGGATCCGGGGGCCCCAAATTCTTGGGTAGGTCTTAGCTGCGAATAAAACAATTGAAATCTTTCAGATTAACACGATGATAAAACTGAACCGATGTCTGTTCGTCTTCAAGTATAAAAGATCATCTTATATTTCTGAAAATACTCAGAAAGAATTAGAATCAAAGTTGAGAACCAATTTTTTTCTTTTTGACATAGAAAATCATATCTATTTATTGTATTGTAAGAGATATACTAAATCATAACTATTTATTGTATTGTAAGGGATATACAAAATTATATCTATTTATTGTATTGTAAGGGATATACACAATTATACCTATATTTATTGTAATGTAAGGGATATACAAAATTATATCTATATTTATTTTATTGTAAGGGATATACAAAATTATATCTATTTATTGTATTGTAAGAGATATACAAAATCATACCTATTTATTGTATTGTAAGGGATATACAAAATTATATCTATATTTATTGTATTGTAAGGGATATACAAAATTATATCTATTTATTGTATTGTAAGAGATATACAAAATCATATCTATTTATTGTATTGTAAGGGTATTATACTAAGTGCGAAAAAGTTTTTGCCGGGTATTTAAACTTTTTTTAAGTAATTGTTGTAGGGCGATAAAGTCACTTTACCGCCCTACAACGGGCAATATTAACTGTGTGATAAATACCCTCAAATTTGAATAAAAACAATTTTATTTTTTGTCAGTCAGATAATACCGTTTTCATTATGAGCTGCAGAATTTTTTCTATAATTTTTTCGGATTTTTTGTGTCAATTATTTCCACGTGAAAAATATTGTTTGCTTCGTTGTTGTTATTGTTGTGGATGCAGCTAACTAATGACTAATGAGTAGAATTCCCAACAGCCTAATAAACTATTAATGTTTTATTTAGAAAATACTTATTCTTGATAAATAACTTCACATTGTTTTCATTTTTGTAGTTTTGTGCAGTAGTGTGTGGGGAAGGGGAGTGGGCCCAAGTCTCAAATGCATCAAATNTATTGTAGTTATAATGAGTATATATATATATTGTAGTGTATAAACCAGTATATTGTAGTTACAATAAAAAAATATATATTGTAGTGTAGAACCAGTATATTGTAGTTACAGTATATATATATTGTAGTGTATGAACCAGTATATTGTAGTTACAATAAATATATATATTGTAGTGTATGAACCAGCATATTGTAGTGTAGAACCAGTATATTGTAGTTATAATGAGTATATATATATATTGTAGTGTATAAACCAGTATATTGTAGTTACAATAAAAAAATATATATTGTAGTGTAGAACCAGTATATTGTAGTTACAGTGAATATATATTGTAGTGTATGAACCAGTATATTGTAGTTACAATAAAAATATCTATATTGCAGTGTAGAACCAGAATATTGTAGTAACAATAAAAATATCTATATTGTAGTGTAGAACCAGTATATTGTAGTTACAATAAATGTCTATATTGTAGTGTAGAACCAGTATATTGTCGTTATAATGAATATATATATATATATATATATATATAGTATTTTCAACTTTTTCAGTTTAAATATACATTTTAGATGTTTAAATATATATTTCTTCCAAGACAAAATGTTTCAAAAGTTTCTTATTATGTCCAGATAGAACTGCTTCAATATTTGTCATACAAGAATATGATACTTTAATCGTTGATCTATTAAAGTATTTTCTCAGTTCTGTTTTTCCAAAATGTTTATCAATCAAACTTAAGAACTTTTCCTTATATATATATTGTAGTGTATGAACCAGTATATTGTAGTTACAATAAAAATATCTATATTGTAGTGTAGAACCAGTATATTGGAGTTACAATAAAAATATCTATATTGTAGTGTAGAACCAGTATATTGTAGTTACAATAAAAATATATATATTGTAGTGTATGAACCAGTTTATAACATTTGAAGTGATGGAAGGAGCTTATGATATTTCTTGTCCAGACCAGGAGTGCCCAACTCAGGTAATTAGTTGATTGATTGACCTTTAGATCGATTGTGTTTTTGATTGATTGTGTTTTCAATCGATTGTGTTTTTGATTAATTGTGTTTTCGATTGATTGTGTTTTTGATCGATTGTGTTTTCGATTGATAGGGATTTTAATTGATTTTGTTTTCGATTGATTGTGCTTTCGATTAATTGTGTTTTCAATTTATTGTGATTTCGATTGATTGTGTTTTCGATTGATTGTGTTTTCGAATGATTGTGTTTTCGATTGATTGTGTTTTCAATTGATTGTGTTTTCAATTGATTGTGTTTTCAATTGATTGTGTTTTCAATTGCTTCTGTTTTCAATTGATTGTGTTATCAGTTGGTTCTGTATTGATTAATTGTTTTTTCATTTTATTGTGTTTTGATTAATTGTGTTTCAATTTATTGTGATTTCGATTGATTGTTTTTTCGATTGATTGTGTTTTCAATTGGTTGTGTTTTCAATTGATTGTGATTTCAATTGATTGTGTTTTAAATTGATTATTTGTTAGACTGATTGTGTTTTCAATTGATTGTGTTTTAATTTGATTATGTTTTCGATTGATTGTGTTTTAAATTAAGTGTTTTTTACAATTGAGTATGTTTTTGATTGATTGTTAAGTGATCGGTTGATTGATTTAGCGTGTAAGATTGATTTTTTGTTATATAAATTGAACTTTAAATGTGTAGATCAAGTGATCAATGAATGGATATCTCAGTGTTACATTGATTGATTATTCTGTATATCATTGCCATTGAAAGCTAAAAGTGCCCATTTTATGAATATGAATATGTTTAAAATTGTCCATCTTGCATTTGGGGTTTCCCGCTCAGGTGGTTTTCCCATTACAAAACTTAGGTTTGTATTATCAGTTTTCTGCTACGATACCTCTAATCTCCATCTTGTTGAGTAATTTCTAGAGACTCTCCATGCCGAGATGGCAATGCCCGATTCACAACGTTACCATTGGAAACATGTATCTGATCAATGATGTGCATGATATTATTGTTTTTTTTTTTAGATTTAAAGGTGTTTAATTCTGACAATTTCTATATGTTTTCCTGCAGTAGAAATGCGGAAGTCTTTTTTTTAGAGAAACCACAATTGAAAATAATCAGTTTTTTCAAAATTACAAACATTCATTTATAATTAAATTTGATCTGACAAAGCTGTTAGTGGTACCTTTGCTGATTAGACATTGCCATCTTTGCATGGAGGGTCACTTGAAATTACGCTTACAGTCCCTTTAATTAGAAGTTGTGAGGTTGTGAATCATTTTATTGCGTAATATGACTTAAACTTGAAATTGATAAGCCAAAGCGTTCAATTGATACTAAAGCTTTTAATTATTTGATTTGGTGTTCTATTAATTGATTGTAACAGAACATAATCAAATAAAATGGTTAACCTTTTGTTTAATGGATAACTCAATCGATTTATCAATCAAGAATTTAATCAATGATTTAGCGTTAAATTATGCAGGGAATATTAAATCAACATCAAATGGAACGTTTGACGTCTCGAGAACTGATGGATAAGCACAGAAACTTCAGATTAAACACAGGTAGGTTGTACACTTTACTCTTTATTGTGTAAATTATACACTGTATTCTGAACAGTGTACATTGTACAATGTACACTTTACTCTTTACTGCGTACACTATACATTGTACTCTGAACAGTGCACATTGTACAATGTACACTTAACTCCTTTATATTAAGCTTACATTGACAGTATTTCCTGACAACAATTCTCTTAACTATTTAAATAATTTTCTGATTTTTAGAAGTGTCAATGGACTCTGAAAGAACGTTCTGTCCGTCTGCAGGCTGTGAAACCATCTGTCATATTTGTGTTGGACCTAAAACTCAGGTATTCAACCATAGATTTATAACAATGCAGATAAAACACTAGATGTCGTCTTTTCAAGATTTAGGGGGGTTTTCGTTCACAATAAGCCTGAGGCAGAATCCCAAAGGAGTTACGCGCATGCCGCGTTAAATTGCAAGACAGAGAGAGAGTCTGTTCTTTAGGCTTCTGCCTCAGGGTTATTGTGAACGAAAAACCCCCTAAATTTTGAAAAGACGACATCTAGTGTTCTATCTGAATTTCTATAAATCTATGTATTAAACAAAGAAACAAACAAAAATGTTAACACTAGCAACAAATATTAAGCAAATTATACACCAGGCAACTAGCACAAAAGAAAATAATTATTAAATTGATAGATTAATCTGTCATATTTGCTTTGGAAATAAATCTTGGGTATCAAACAATCAAACACCAAACAAGAAAAGTTTCAAGTGGCAAACAAAGGCCTGCCAACAAACAAATCAATTAAATTAGTAAATTGTTTAGTTTCCGTTGGAAATACATCTCTGGTATTGAACAAACAAGTAACAAATAAACTCCAAACAAACAAATCAAACACTTCCGCAGTTCAACCATAATAAGAATATAGATAAACTAAGAAATTCACACAAACACTAACACCCAATACACAAACACTAACACCCAATACACAAATACTAACAGCCAATTCACAAATACTAACACCCAATACACAAATACTAACAGCCAATACACAAACACTAACACCCAACACACAAACACTAACACCCTATACACAAACACTAACACCCAATACACAGACACTAAAACCCAATACACAAACACTAACACCCAATACACAAACACTAACACCCAATACACAAATACTAACACCCAATACACAAACACTAACACCCAATACACAAACACTAACACCCAATACACAAACACTAACACCCAATACACAAACACTAACACCGAATACACAAACACTAACACCCAATAAAAAACACTAACACCCAATACACAAACACTAACACCCAATGCACAAACACTAACACCCAATACACAAACACTAACACCCAATACACAAATACTAACACCCAATACACAAAAACTAACACCCAATACGCAAACACTAAAACTTAACGCACGCACACTTTATCCAACATACACACACTAACAGACATTGAACACTCAGATGCCTACGTCACACATGCATAGCAAGGCCAAGATCAAGTCTCAATGTCAGGATGCAACTTCATTACCTAAAATGTTTTACAAATATTTGAGTATTTTAATACCTTGAGAGTTGGACAGAATTATTTTAAATATTTGAAAATTTAAGTTATAGATTATTAACCTTTGATCAATTTATCATTAGATAGAAAGTACGATCCTCGGCCACAGGTACATTTTTTAGCGCTAAGCCGCCTTAACAGGGTTTCTTTTAAAATGTTGATCTTATGCGTATTTTAAAATAGGTGAACATTTCCTTTAAAGAGACTGTAAGCGTAATTTTAAATGACCCTCCGTGCAAAGATGACAATGCCCGATTTACAACAGTATCCTGAACCCTTCTTGTGTTCGTTAACACAGCGCACACAGGAATTTGAGGCGGGGTTTGATAGGTTTACAAACGCATATCTCTTTGCATTGAAATTACGCTTACAGTCCCTTTAAGATAACACAATAATAATGAATGTTTGTATAGTGTGTAGCGGTGAACTGTCCTACCTGTTCTAAGGAATTTTGTTCCCTATGCTCCTCGACGTGGCATCCTGGTCTTTCCTGCGCGGAGAACGGCGCGCTTCTTGTAGCACGTGGTAACCCTGGCTACGAAGAAGCACTGGGCTGGAATGATACGATCAAGAAGTGCCCTATGTGCCATGTTCCGATAGAACGGGACGCGGGATGTGCGCAAATGATGTGTAAGCGATGCAAGCACGTGTTCTGTTGGTACTGTCTCAGCTCATTGGATGTAAGAAAACATTCCCCAATTTTTCTAAAAATTTAAATTAATTTTAACAGTTTACAAATAGAAATTTTACTTTCTAGAATTATTTTCCTTAATTTCATTTTTTAGGATGATTTTTTGCTTCGTCATTATGATTCTGGTAACTGTCGCGGTAAACTGGGACACTCTAGAGCATCTGTTCTGTGGCATAGAGCACAGGTAAATTTATAGCATGGGGTTCAAGCAAACATCGTTTTACAATTAGATTTATAGATCATTTTGGATTGGCTGAATGGACTGAATTGTTTGATGGATTTGATTAGTATCATAGTTTGGATTGTTATGTTTTGTGTTCAGCACACAAATATTGAAATCAAACATTAAACATGGTTTAACCTGACCACACTGGATCTGGTTCACAAGGCCCCCATATGACTCAGGAGATCAAAATCAGAAAATACGCCATTTCAAGAGTAGTTGATTAATTTATTGAAATCCTGTTTTTCAACATTTTTCTTCTCGAAAAATTAAAATCAAAGTGAAAATTAGATAACTCATTTTTATTGTTTCAGTTTTTAAAAATATTGTTAAGACTAATCATTTAAAGATATGAAATGCCAATTGAATGAATTAAAAAAAGAACATATGAATTAACTAAATTAAATTAAGCCTATCTCTGCTGGGGTACTTGAAAACTAGGATATGCTGGGGGGGGGGTCAATTTGACCCCCCCCCTTTAAATCCCATGTTTGATATCCAAATATGACAAATGATACATCATTGGAAAGCTCTTGTGCTTTACTTTTAGAATCTGCAAAAAAAATTTGCAAATTTGCAAAAATTGAATTTTGTATCGCAAAAGCCAGTTATATAGTAAAAATGTTTGCAAAAAAAAATTGTCCAAAAAATGAAAAATTATACATTTAGGAAAAGCCCTTGACCATGCTATTTCAAATATGCAAAAAATTTTGCTAAATTTTAAATAACTTGATTTTTAATCAAGAAAAACTAAAAATGTGCAAATTTCCTTTGACCGGCTGTTTGCAAAAATTTGCAATTTTTTTCGCAAAACTTGTGCAATTCGTTTCCTTATGTCAAAGGCCTTCCAAAAAGCTAAATTTTATCAAAATCTGACAAGTGGAAGTGGGTCAAAACAAAGATTTAGTTTGTTACAGGAAAAAGCAGTCATTCAGACAGTGTGCCTAAGGACTCAGGCAGTTAGTATTAAAGCCCGGTTTTAGGCCTAAAGGGAGGGCTTTGGGTATGAAAGAAAAGTCAGAAAATTTCAACAGCCTCAGACCAATACTTTTTGAGTTATGTAAAAAAAACTACAGGAGGGGGGGTCAACAATTAAACCCCCTCCCCCCAGCAGGAATAAGGTTAATTAACATTACTTCCAAAACTTTAAATTAACAGGATGAATAGTGGAGAACACTAGATTTATATAACCAAATTGCGCTTCATTTTTATCATTTGAGGTTTTACCCGCATCAAACATTGTTTATATGGTTATGTTCTTCCGATTTGATAAAACTACAATCTACATTGATAAATTTATTAATCAGAAAACCTCAAGGCATTTTGGATATTCAAATCATCCACCGAAAACGCATTTTACAAGTCTAAATTACAGGATTAAGTTTAAATAGAATTTTCTCAAAAGGAGTTTTACAGGGATTTCTAAAAGTCAACAGGCTTGATCTAGAAACCTACTTTATAGCTGAGGGGACTGGTGAACTTTAGTTTTTAAATTATCTTTCCAATCGACAGAACCATTGGGATAATTCATAAAACTTAAATTTCTTTCCAGATAAAAGTGTGGTTGGGTTAAATCATGTCCAATATTTGATTCACAATATTTGTTTTTTCTGGTTGATTTTTCAATTGATTTTTCAAATTATTTTTCTGGTTGATTTTTCAAATGATTTTTCAAATGATTTTTTTTCATTTAAAGATTGCGTTGGATTATGATGGATAGTTATTTAAATCGCTAAAATTGATTTTTGTGATTCTTGAAGGAAATGTCTTCGGGACTTTTTTGTGTTTGGAAATTTTTTTAACCAAGTTTGTAACACTATGAATTTAGTTTTAAAACATTTAAGTATATGAACTTCAAATATGTTTGAAATTCTATTAATAAAAATCTCAATTTTTTGTCTGAAAAAGCTGCAAAATTTCCTTGAAACAAATATCAAAAGTTTCATCTTTTACAATTTAAATTGTTTCTTTAGCTTATTTTTAGCTCTGTTGCAAACTTGAAATGTTTTTATCTGATTCAGCGTAATTAAAGAAAGTCCGGAATGCAGCGCGGCAACCGGATATGTTTGTTGTTTTGCGTCATCGTCTTTACACATTGAATCCTGCAAATTCTTCTAATTATTCGCTGACTGATCATTATGATATTGTTCTTGCTAAGTTGAAAAATAACCCTAAAATTAGTTAATTATGCTGCAAATTATTTAAGGAATTCCACTCATTTCGAAACTTTAAACTTGGGACACTTCCATAAATCGGAAGCACGGTTTCAGTAAAATTGCAAGCTATCATTGTGAATAGCTTTTCAGGGGGGAAATTGCTTAAAAGATGCCATTGTGAATAGCTTTTCAGGGGGGAAATTGATTACAATATGTCATTGTGAATAGCTGTTCAGGGGGGAAATTGATTACAACATGTCATTGTGAATAGCTGTTCAGGTGGGAAATTGATTACAATATGTCATTGTGAATAGCTGTTCAGGGGGGAAATTGATTACAACATGTCATTGTGAATAGCTTTTCAGGGGGGAAATTGCTTACAAGATGTTATTGTGAATAGCTTTTCAGGGGGGAAATTGCTTACAAGAATCATTGTGAATATCTTTTCAGGGGGGAAATTGCTTACAAATGTCATTGTGAATAGCTTTTCAGGGGGGAAATTGCTTACAAGATGTCATTGTGAATAGCTTTTCAGGTGGGAAATTGATTACAATATGTCATTGTGAATAGCTTTTCAGGTGGGAAATTGATTATAATATGTCATTGTGAATAGCTTTTCAGGTGGGAAATTGATTACAATATGTCATTGTGAATAGCTTTTTAGGTGGGAAATTGATTACAATATGTCATTGTGAATAGCTTTTTAGGGGGAAATTGCTTACAAGATGTTATTGTGAATAGCTTTTCAGGTGGGAAATTGATTACAATATGTCATTTTGAATAGCTGTTCAGGGGGGAAATTGATTGCAAGATGTCATTTTGAAATGCTTTTCAGGGGGGAAATTGCTTACAATATGTCATTGTGAATAGCTTTTCAGGGGGGAAATTGCTTACAAGATGTAATTGTGAATATCTTTTTAGGGGGAAATTGCTTACAATATGTCATTGTGAATAGCTGTTCAGGGGGGAAATTGATTACAATATGTCATTTTGAATAGCTGTTCAGGGGGTAAATTTCTTACAATATGTCATTGTGAATAGCTTTTCAGGGGGGAAATTGCTTACAAGATGTCATTGTGAATAGCTTTTCAGGGGGGGGAAATTGCTTACAATATATCATTTTGAATAGCTGTTCAGGGGGGAAATTGATTACAATATGTCATTTTGAATAGCTGTTCAGGGGGAAAATTGATTATAATATGTCATTGTGAATAGCTTTTCAGGTGGGAAATTGATTACAATATATCATTTTGAATAGCTGTTCATGGGGGAAATTGATTACAATATGTCATTTTGAATAGCTGTTCAGGGGGGAAATTGATTACAATATGTCATTGTGAATAGCTTTTCAGGGGGGAAATTGCTTACAAGATGTCATTGTGAATAGCTTTTCAGGTGGGAAATTGATTACAATATGTCCAATATGTCATTTTGAATAGCTGTTCAGGGGGGAAATAATTGATTACAATATATCATTGTGAATAGCTTTTCAGGGGGGAAATTGCTTACAAGATGTCATTGTGAATAGCTTTTCAGGTGGGAAATTGATTACAATATGTCATTGTGAATAGCTTTTCAGGTGGGAAATTGATTACAATATGTCCTTGTGAATAGCTGTTCAGGGGGAAATTGCTTACAATATGTTCTTGTGAATAGCTTTTCAGGGATGCAATTGCTTACAAGAGTCATTGTGAATAGCTTTTCAGGGGGGAAATTGCCAATAAGAGTCATTGTGAATAGCTTTTCAGGGGAGAAATTGCTTACAAGAGTCATTGTGAATAGCTTTTCAGGGGGGGAAATTGCTTACAAGATGTCATTGTGAATAGATTTTCAGGGAGGGAAATTGCTTACAAGAGTCATTGTTAATAGCTTTTTAGGGGAATAATTGAAAGAGATCATTGTGAAAAGATTTAAGAGGGGGGAACTAGCAGCCGTAGTACATTTGAATTTCCATGTCGGGTCAACCTTTCCGGTCCCAGTTTGTACTGTACCTAGCTCTATGGACAGGACTAGCCGTTGCAACTAGATTGACGCGGTCAGACTTTATGCTTCATATAGGTTGAATTTACTTTTACTAAAGGGGTAGAGGTGCGTGGGGGAAAATACTAGTTAATTTTCTCATTCCTTTGTATTTAGGTGATTGGAATATTTGCTGGATTTGGAATTCTACTATTAGTTGCATCTCCCCTCCTCCTCGCCTTTGCACCATGTCTCCTCTGCTGCAAGTGCAGGTGATGCAATTTTAATGTGGTTTTTCAAGAACAATATAATTTTTCTGAAGTTGTCAGATAAATCATTGAAAGGTTTTTACATAAAGTTAATTTTTAATGATATTAAATATTTGTTCTAGTTAGTTGAAGCTGTCCAAATAAAAATATGATATAAATATATAAAAATTAAGAATATAAAAATAAATATATACTATAAAAAGTACACTCGGTATATGTATCTATATATAAATATAAAGTTGTAATCTCACGTTTGTCTGCCTGTCTGTCCGATCATAACTCAGTAACCCCTAGACCGATTTGCCTCAAATTTTGATTGGGGAACTCGAGAGACCCACGGGAATGTTCTTATGTTGGTTTTAAGAATCTAAGTTGAGTAGGTCGACTTAAATAGCGAAAATTTAGTGCGGGTAAACAACGGGAGAATCGGTTAGTAACCTGGGCAGCGCTGGGTTCCCAAGCTAGTATATATATTGTAGTAAACTCTATTTGTCTGTTTGGATGTCCGATCATAACTCATTAACCACGTGACTTTAAAGTTTTAAAGTTCTAAGTAGACTAGGTTTACTTTTGATAGGGACAACTCCATGGCAAGACTGGGTGTCCAACCTAGTAACATTATAATCAATATATTTTATCATGTATCAAATTTTTAAAATTTTCCATCAAAATGTTTAAAAACTTTGAAGGACAAATAAAAATTATTTAATATTTTAGTTGAACATAACGCTGTGTTAAAAAACTATGTTATAAATACATAAAATAATGCTCTCAACATATACAGTGATAACCAGAAAACTGTGGAATAGGAAGAGAACATTAAAGCAGAGTTTTCTGGTTTTCACTGTAACAAATAAATATTTAGGAGCTGTACTAAAGCAGGATCCGGAGTAGAGAACGCACAGTCCAGCTTTGTTTCCACGTCATGATGGAGACAACAGATTTGCCAGGTTCTCCGTCATGATGGAGACAACAGATTTGCCAGGTTCTCCGTCATGATGGAGACAACAGATTTGCCAGGTTCTCCGCACAGTCCAGCTTTGTTTCCACGTCATGATGGAGACAACAGATTTGCCAGGTTCTCCGCAACTCTCCATTTTCAAACTTCCTAAAGATCATGGTTTCACCAGTAACATTTTTTAAAAGAAATTTAATTAATCATCTTTAATTTTAATGCCATTGAAATTGAATTTTTCTTAATGAAAGCCGCTGGGTCCCAATATATTTTTATAAGGCCGGTTTCTATTGTAGGATTTGGGGGCAAAAAGTATTAAAAAGCGATAAAAAGCGATAGAAAGCGATAAAAGCATCCAAGTTTTTTTTTATTTCAATCTGAAGTATTTTATAAACATTTCCACCTGCATAATAAGTAAAGGAAGAACCAATGCAACATATTCTGAAACCTTTGAATTGTACACATGTTTGTCAACAATGAATGTACTGCAACTAGATTTCATTAATGAGCATCGTTTTTTATGATTAAGTATATTTAAAAAATATTTATTTTCTCAATTGTGAATTTTGTGAATGTAGTCTTTAATCTATTTTTTTTCTAATATCATCTTATCAGTTGCAGTTGAGAATATCTGTCTGAAATGTGCTAGCTGTCTAAAGTATATCTTTGTATGATTATTGATATAAGAACAATTAGCTATATATACTATACAGTATAACCCAGAACTTTGGAGACATAAAAAAATTTATTAAATGTCATCTTGAAAATTTTCATTTGGTTTTATACTTTTATACCTAAATCTCAGAAATTGTAAATATAAATAAAATTATTTATTCAATTAAAAACTAAACATCTTAAGCCTTCCATTATCAGTAGGTGAATAGTAGGTGATTAGTAGGTGAATAGTAGGTGAATAGTAGGTGAATAGTAGGTGAATAGTAGGTGAATAGTAGGTGAATAGTAGGTAAATAGTAGGTGAATAGTATGTGAATAAAACGACATTTTATAATTTTGTTCCATGTCTCGGAGTTCTGGGTTATACAGTATATTAATTTGTTCCATGCTTCGGAGTTCTGGGTTATACAGTATATTAATTTGTTCCATGCTTCGGAGTTCTGGGTTATACAGTATATTAATATTTCATCTATATGTAATGTCCTCTATTAAAATGTCTACCTTTAGTAAATGCAAACATATTTCTGAAAGTGATCTTCCTGTATAGAAAAAAAACTAATATGACGTCACTCTCGCCTCTATAATCAGTGACGTGATATTAGGTTTTATCTATTTATCTTAGAAGACGACATTTTCCGTACATTCGAGCGCATCGAGTGTAACCTGACTTGTGATACAACCTTGGATTTAGCTATACAACCTATGTTTACAGTCTGTTTAAGCTTTGACAAATTTTCTTTAAAGTTTATATATGAAAACTTCCTCTGTATCATTATCATACATACATTTTACATATATTATAATAAATATTATTAAATTATTGACCCCTTTGTTTATGAACCAGGCAGCTCTTTTTCCTCATATTTTGAAATATAATCGTCAAACAATGTATTTTTCTGTTTAATCTTATCCAATATGTTCTTGCAGAAGATATAAAATTGCAGCTCAATAAAATCTATGGGATGGGAGAATTCAATTAATATGTGAGGTATATCGGAATACTAAAAGTATATTAAATAAGTATTGAATGAATAAGTTAAGATAAAAGTTTCTGATAGATATGCTTAGATATGGGAATACGCTTGGGATAAATATTGAAAGCTTTAATTATTTTATTGATTTTGTAAGAAGGTAGAATTAATTTTTGGAAATGGTTCGGCAAAATAGTCTCATAAAAATGAGTTGAAGTACAGAAATTATTAAATATATCATTTTTTTGATTGTGACCAATAAAATATCATATCTATCATTTTTTCTACTTTTAAAATTATCTATCTACAGTTTATAAGTACCCCTCCCCCCAGCCCCTGTGTTTTCTGTCATTATATTATTTATTAATGTGATTCTTCATATTGTATACATTATTCATAAATACATATTTGTTTAACAAGAAATAAATTTAAGAAAAATAACTTTTATTTTAACTAAGAGAGAGCATTATTCATAAATATACATTTGTTAAAAAAGAAATAAACTTAAGAATAAAAACTTTTATTCTAACTAAGAGAGTGTTCATGAAATTTAAAATTTATTATTGAAGACAAAATTAAGAATGAACACATTTAAGAATGTGTCAAATGGATTTTTATCAGTGTCTGAGTAGGACTATAGTTCTACATAAATGGACAGAAAATTCAAACTTTTCCCTCATTCCTAAAGCTAAAAATACGACAATATCTTCTACATTATTAGTAAATAGTTTTTATCAGCCGAAAGGGCCGGCACTGAACTGTTTTTTTTCTTATCTTTTTCATGTTTAATATTTAAATATTGTCTCAAAGGTTATATTGTCACAGATTTTTTACAATGTTTATTCAGTGTTTTCCTTCCTTCAAATTTATTGTTTGTTCGAGCAAGGACAGGAACAAAATATAGCTTGTATCGTTTTTTTTCAAGACTTAGACTTTTTAAAGTCACTAAATAAACCTTTTAAGGTTCCTAGAGGTCCAAAAGGTCCTGGATAAATAAAACTTTTTAAAAAACATGTAATTTTTTTTATTAAAATATATTTTGTTCATCTATATTCTATATCTCCTTGAATTTACTTAAAATTATAATCTCTAGAGATCCCTTAACTTTTGATTGATCGTTTTGTCGCGGATATTGATCTACAGGGTTACCCACAAAGAATGAGAATTTAGAGACGACTGTACGGAATTTATTCAATCCTATTTCTTCCACTGAGGGTCACCTGCATCTGTAAAATTGTGTCATTCTTTGCCAGATTATTCAATATACCCTATAAAAACTTGATTGAAGACAGAAGCCTAACCTCAACATTCAGATCGTTATATTTAGATAGTTAAAGGTCGTTATTAAAGCCTCATCCTTGATGAGTTTCACTTACTTATCAAGATCAGAGATCAAGCTGATAAACGGGGAGAGCCTACTAGCTACTTTAATCAGCCTAAGCTTGAGGAGCAGAGATGACTTTGAAGCGTGCAGGAATTGCCTTGACCAAGACAAAGCCCTAAAAAGGTCGGTCCCGGTAGATAGAGGATTAGCTCTGGATATTTTTCCCAGAATGGTCCAAGAAAAGAGATGGACTTGTCCCACATTCAACCTAATAGACAGAATCAACTTTTTGGATATTAATATAACATACACTTTTTTTAACTGTAAAGTCGCTAGACTGGACTGGACTTGCTGTTATAATATAACATATACTTGATTTAACTATAAAGTTTCTAGACTGCACTTGCTGTTATAATATAACATATATACTTGCTGTTATAATATAACATATACTTGCTGTTATAATATAACATATACTGGCTGTTATAATATAACATATACTTGCTGTTATAATATAACATATACTTGCTGTTATAATATAACATATACTATAATATAACATATACTTGCTGTTATAATATAACATATACTTGCTGTTATAATATAACATATACTTGCTGTTATAATATAACATATACTGGCTGTTATAACATAACATATACTTGATGTCATAATATGATATGATTTGATTTGATTTGATTTGATTTGATTTGATTTGAAACTGGTTTTTTTTTGGATTTACTTTTATCGTCTTTTAAAAGAAGGACACATGACATGACGTAAATAAAAAAAAGATGAATCCAAATACATGTTTATATTCAATAAACACTTCATTTGTATTATTTTCATTGATCCAAAAAGTCAGGTACTGTTTAAAATGTATTTTAAGGTAGAAGGTGATTGGATCAATATACTGAAGACGACTTTTTCATTATAGTCATAATTGTTAAAAAGCTTTTTTGGATTTCAAATTTATCTTTTCTTTGTTGCCGTGCTTTCAGGATGTTTAAAAGCTTTATATAAATTGAAATTGAAAGTCGTCTTCATTATATTGATATGATCGTCTACCAAAGTATAATAATATACCCAAAGCCCCCCCCCCCCCGTCGGATAAGAAGATCTTGTAAAATCTGAAAATGCCTGAGACTCGGATTTCCCAGACTTGAACTTGAAAACTTGGAAAATGTAAAAGTGTTGAAATTCTAATCTGAACATATGTTTAAAAACTTAAACCTTCGCCTTGGGCTGTTCTGATGCATCATACTCTGTATCAAATAGATTTTAGTACAATAGATGGCAACGTAGAATTTGTACACTCTCAGTACAGCTGTATTCTTACGTCACAAGTGTCAACTCAGTTTTTGTGTCCGACAAAACTATCAATAATAGTGATAATTTTAGGAAAAAGTGCTTATCTTACAGTAAAATAAGTGCAATTTTATGTGTTATTTAATTTCTGTAATTACACTTTTTTCTTTAATCTTGGATAACATGTCAACTAATGTGAGAAATTTCGTTTTCCTTGATATATTTGACACTTGAGACGTCTTGTATAATTGGTCCATTTCTCTGTTGCCACCTATTGTACTTGATAATCTATTTGCTCTGTATTTCCGCCGTCGTCAGAAGCAAACTTCTTTGTAAGGATCTCTGACTAAAAAGGCGGTTTAACTTCCTCGCAGGATGATTTATTTTTCTATAATGAAGTTCCCATGCAGTACACGACATACTTCATAAAGTACGTTGCATAACATTCCTAGTAAACGAAGTTCAGCTCTAAGGCAGTAGGGTCATCTGCCTATACATGAGCCCCTCCCTTTCCATGGGGGGGGGGGGGCGTGAGCGTACTGTCAAATGACTGCCTTAGAACTGAACTTTTCCTTCCTCAATACGAAAGTTATGCAACGTACTTCATGAATTATATAGACGCAATAGAGAAATTATAAATAAATTTCTTTTTTTCTTGTCACACGCTTCTCTAATTTGGACATTGGGACACATGTTTATCTATAGAATCTGAATACTGGGGCACATGTTTATCTAGAGAATCTGGATACTGGGACACGTGTTTATCTAGAGAATCTGGATACTGGGACACGTGTTTATCCATAGAATCTGAATACTGGGACACGTGTTTATCTAGAGAATCTAAATACTGGCTGTGACTTAGGTTTATCTATAGAATCTGTATACTGGGACACATGTTTATCTAGAGAAAAGTTATACTGAGACACGTGTTTATCCAGTGGATCTGTATACTGAGACACAGTGTTTATCTATAGAATCTGAATACTGGGACATGTGTTTATCTAGAGAATCTGGGTACTGGGACATATATTTATCTATAGAATCTGAATACTGGGACATATGTTTACCATAGAATCTAAATACTGGTACACGTGTTTATCAAGATAATATTTATAATGGGAAACGTGTTTAACTAGAGAATCTAGCTACTGGATGTGACACATGTTTATCTAAAGAATCTGTAAACTGGGACACATGTTTATCTAGAGAATATTTATACTGGCACACGTGTCTATTTAGAGAATTTGTATACTGGGACACATGTTTATCTAAATAATCTGGACACAAGGACACATGTTTATCTAGAGAATCTGGATTCTGGGACATACGTTTATCGAGAGAATATTTATGCTGCGATACATGTTTATCTAGAGAATCTGGATAATGGGACATATGTTTATCTATAGAATCTGAATACTGGGACATATGTTTATAATAGAATCTAGATACTGGGGCACGTGTTTATCAAGAGAATATTTATACTGGGACACGTGTTTATCTAGAGAATCTAGCTACTGGATGTGACACATGTTAACTAAAGAATCTGTAAACTGGGACACATGTTTAGCTAGAGAATATTTATATTGGGACACATGTCTATTTAGAGAATCTGTATACTGGTACATATGTTTATCTAAATAATCTGGATACAAGGACACATGTTTATCTAGAGAATCTGGATTCTGGGACATACGTTTATCGAGAGAATATTTATGCTGGGACACATGTTTATCTAGAGAATCTAGATACTGGGACACATGTTTATCTATAGAATATGGATACTGGGACACATGTTTATCTAGAGAATCTGGATACTGGGACATTTGTTTATCTATAGAATATTTATTCTGGGACACATGTTAATCTAGAAAATCTGGATATTGGGACATATATTTATCTAGAGAATATTTGTACTTGGACACATTTTTGTCTAGAGTATCTAGATACTGGGAAACATGTTTATCTAGAGAATCTGGATACTGGGACATTTGTTTATCTATAGAATATTTGTTTATTTGTAAAATCTGGACAGTGGGACACTTGATTATTTAAAGAATCTGAATACTGGGACACATGTTTATCTATAGCATCTGGACATAGGGACACCTGATTATCTAGTAAATCTAGATATTGGGACACATGTTTATCCAGTAAATATGAACATTGGGACACATGTTTATCCGAAGAATCTGGACATAAGGACACTTGATTATCTAGTAAATCTGGACATTGGGACACGTGTTTATCTAATAAATGTGAAGATTGGTACACGTGTTTATCTAGTAAATCTGGACATTGGGAAACATGTTTAATGTTTATCTTGTATGTGTGTACAATTGTTTATCTAAGTTTAAAGAACTGTGCCCGGATATGAGTAAGCGAGTGGGTTGAAAGATACCAGAGGAAACTGATTCATAGATCTGTTATCTTGTATCTCCGAGCCTACCCGGAGTAAACTTAAACCTGACATTCGCAGTTCTCTCAGGTCTCAAGTAGGTACTGATAAATACATAGATTCTTATTCTCTTGAAATAACCAAAATAGTTTTTAAATGTTACCTTTTTGGCTCTTTTTTGTATTGTTAACCCGTCTTTCCATTCTTCCTTCTCTTCTCTAATCTTAATATCTAACATCTTATCTTTTAGTTAACTCTTGTCTTTTTATTATTTCCTCTTGTCCTCTTCTTCTTTTATCTCTTCTTTACACATCTTGTCTTTTTCTTTTTGTAGCTTGTCTTCTTCTTCTTATATTACTTCTTTATATATCTTGTCCTTTTCTTCTGTAATCTTGATCTCTTCATTATATATCTCTTCTTTATACAACTTGTCCTTTTCTTTTTATTAATTGTCCTCTTCTTCTTATATCTTGTCCTCTTCTTATTATACCTTGTCCTCTTCTTCTCATATCTTGTCCTCTTCTTTTTATATCTTCTCCTCTTCTTCTCATATTTTCTCCTCTTCTTATAAATACCTTGTCCTCTACAGCTCATATCTTGTCCTTTTCTTTTCATATCTTGTCCTCTTCTTCTCATATCTTGTCCTCTTCTTCTTATATCTTGTCCTCTTCTTCTTATATCTTGTTCTCATCCTCTCATATCTTGTCCTCTTCTTCTTATATCTTGTCCTCTCCTTCTCATATCTTGTCCTCTTCTTCTCATATCTTGTCATCTCCTTCTCATATCTTGTCCTGTTCTTCTTATATCTTGTCCTCTTCTTCTTCTATCTTGTCCTGTTCTACAGGCTGGACACTAAAAGAACCTACAGAAGAAGGCGGATAACTGTTGAGGGAGGCACAGAGCAGGAGAGAAAACTAGTATTATCTCATATATATTCAAATCTCAAGGTATATACTAGTATTATCTCATATATATTCAAATCTCAAGGTATATACTAGTATTATTTCATACGTATTCAAATCTCAAGGTATATACTAGTATTATCCTATATATATTCAAGTCTCAAGGTATATACTAGTATTATCTCATATATATATTTAAATTTCAAGGTATATACCAGCATTATCTCATATATATTCAAATCTCAAGGTATATACTAGTATTATCTCATATATATTCAAATCTCAAGGTCTATACTAGTATTATCTCATATATATTCAAATCTCAAGGTATATACTAGTATTATCTCATATATATTCAAATCTCAAGGTCTATACTAGTATTATCTCATATATATTCAAATTTCAAGGTATATACCAGTATTATCTCATATATATTCAAATTTCAAGGTATATACCAGTATTATCTCATATATATTCAAATCTCAAGGTATATACTGGTATTATCTCTTATATATTCAAATCTCAAGGTATATACTAGTAATATCTCATATATATTAAAATCTCGAGGTATATACTAGTATTATCTCATATTTATTCAAAACTCAAGTTAAAGACTAAATCAAAATCTCAATAATTTTCAAATTTCAACGGAAAAACTACAAAGTATTATGTCAAATAATTGTGTATTAGTTAATTTCTTTTGAGGATAATCTCTCAACTAGTAAGAAGAAGAAGACAAGCATAATGGAATCCATTAAAATGAAAATGGCGGAATCTTCCAAAACCAAAATGGCCGACTCTTCAAAAACTAAAATGTCGGAATCCACAAAAACTAAAATGATGGAGAAATCTAAAACCGAATGCTGGTGTGATCATTCTCAGGTAAATTTTAGTTTCTTAAAGAATTATTGATAGATTTAGCTTATACACCATTTCTTGTATACCACAAAGAGCAAATCTAAAATAAAATATAAACTACATCTGAAAATGTCTTCCATATTCTTTCATCTGTCCCCCATGAAAACCTTCCTGTTCTGGTAGATGCGCCTGAAGGAGAAGGAGATGCTTAAGGATCTGAACAAGCAGCATATTGAGCTCATCATGGACAAGAACTCACAGATCAAGAAGCTGGTTGATCAGCTCAACCAGAGGTTAAAGGGATTTTATTTTTCTAAACTAGAGGATAAAGGGATGTATTTATCTAAACCAGAGAATAAAGGGATTGTATTTGACCACACCAGAGGTTAATGGGATTGTATGTATCTAAACTAGAGGTTAAAGGGATTGTATTTATCTAAACCAGAGGTTAATGGGATTGTATTTATCCACACCAGAGGTTAAAGGGATTGTATTTATCTAAACCAGAGGTTAATGGGATTGTATTTATCCACACCAGAGGTTAAGGAATTCTATTTATCTAAACTAGAGGATTTAGGGATTGTATTTATCTAAACCAGAGGTTCAAGGGATTGTATTTATCCACACCAGAGGGTAATGGGATTGTATTTATCTAAACTGGAGGATAAAGGAATTGCATTTATCTAAACCAGAGGTTAAAGGGATTGTATTTATCTAAACCAGAGATTAAAGGGATTCTATTTATCTAAACTAGAGGATTTAGGGATTGTATTTTTCCACACCAGAGGTTAGTTAATTGGATTGTTTTAGCTACACATGATATTGAAGGGATAATTTAGCAATTTGAAACATTATTGTAAAAATCTGAATATCTGATCTTCAAATTTCATTATCTTTGCAACCCGATGTCGTAGGCCTTAGATATTTCAAGCTGTGGATTCTTTTAGATTAAAAAACTCCAAGTTTTAAATATCAAAGGATTACACCTGCAGGTTGCAAAGATACAGGGATCAGAAAATTTGGGGTTGAGGCAAAGCCTTAATTCTTTTGAAAATTTTCTGATGGTTTTCATAATGTCGTCTTACTTTACAGGAAATCTGAGATTAGTATTATCAAAGAGGAGATTCAGAGGTAAAACCAATTTTAAAAAATCAATTTTTTCAAATGTGAACACTTTTCTGTTAATAAAAAATAAAGATTTTATTTAATGATATGCATTACTGTTGGTTATCATTTTTTTAAATAATCATTTAAAATACATATTTTTTCAATTTTTCGTCGATAAAACAGATAACAGTTGTTAAAAATAACTTTTAAAATCAGTAAAGTTTCTCCAGAAAATATTTTTTGTATTATAATTTCTTAAATTATATATTCTTTCATGATCTTTTATATTATTCAGATCCGTTTCTTCGAGGAAAGAAACTATGAAAAACATCGAAGAACAAATGTAAGTCAGAATATTTTTCTATCAAATTTATCATATTATTTTTGTTTCAATTAAATCTGAATTTCTATTCAGTCAGAATGTTAACGTGCACCAACAAGAAGTATGGGACAGCTCAAACTGTCATACTTAATCTCTTTTCTTTTTACCGAGAAGGTTCAACTCTTTTAGACAAAATATAAACTAAAAGGCGAGAACCTTCGAGAAACAGAGAAATTTTAAGTCCAAAAACTTTAAGAACATCGTGCCAATAGTGTTATGGTAATTTTATGAAACACATGTGTACTTGCCTTATTGCAATGGCTATTTCTAGATAAAATAAGCTTTTTATGACAGCAGAAACAAAAATATAAAGTTAATTTTAATTTTATTTTTATTTATGTTAAAAAATATTTTGTAAATATCCAAAATAAATTGTAGCAAATCCGGAAACCAACACGTGCTATTTTGTACAGTAGTAATTTAACATATAGCACGATCATAATAAAATTAACTATGAAGTGAGTAAGAATGATAAAGTCCTAGATTTGTTAAAATGATAGGATACTAAATGTCGTCTTTTCAAGACGTATGGGATTTTCGTTCACATTAACCCCGAGGCAAACGCAAAGGAGACGTGCATGCCATGCGTAACTTCTTTGGGCCTCTGCCTCAGGGTTATAGTGAACGAAAAACCCTTAAATCTTTAAAAGACGACATCTAGTTTCCTATATGTTATTTTAATTAATCTATGGATAAAGTAAACATTATTAGTTTTTAAAAAAATCTTAAGACAGGTTTATAATTATTATCTTTAAATATGTATTTTGAGAGCGCAACTTTACATGTTATTGTTAATAAGAGCTGGGAAATGCTGAGTTTTGTAGATTTATGTTTAAAAATTGCTTCCCGCATTTCTTTTTCTGCAAGGAAGACGATCTTTTGTCTCTAGAAACTTTTTATTATCTAGGATTGAGAGGTTTAGTGAACAGGAGGACAAATACAGGGAGAAGATACGTGACCTCGAGGCTTCTAATCTCGACCTCAAATCTGAGGCTCGAAGGATTCATGCTCTTGAAGACCAGGTTTGAAATCTTTGAAATTTAACCATTTAAAGGGACTGTGCGGGTAAGGGACCCTCCAGTGATAGAATGACATGTTCTATTCACAAGGGTACCCTTGAAAGCTTTGGACGTCTGATCAAGTATGAATTATATATCCATGTTTTTGTTTTTTCAAAATTGAATGTGTTCAATTGTAGTTTCTCAACATATGCCTTAAAAATAATGGGGAATTTGGAAGAACTTTCAAGTTTCCAAATTATTAATTAGATGTAGGTGTCAATTGGGAATTGGAAATTCCCCTCTTTATGTAAAAGTTCACTTTAAATTACGCGTACACAGTCTCTTTAAGGATAATTCAAGGGCAGAGACTAAACAAGAATGTTTTAAAATTACATTTTTTGAATAAGTTGGCTTTTATCATATTGTCCAGATATTCACTCTAACAAAAGATATTAGCAAACTATTTGACCAATGTTTTATCATTATCCATATAAGTTAGCATTTTAAGTTATATTTCAGTTATTTAAAGTTATATTTCAGTCATTTTAAGTTATATTTCAGTCATTTAAAGTTATATTTCAGTCATTTTAAGTTATATTTTAGTCATTTAAAGTTATATTACAGTCATTTAAAGTTATTTTTCAGTCATTTTAAGTTATATTTCAGTCATTTTAAGTTATATTTCAGTCATTTTAAGTTATACTTCAGTCATTTTAATTCATATTTCAGTCATTTTAAGTTAGTTATATTTCAGTCATTTTAAGTTATATTTCAGTCATCTTAAATTATATTTCAGTCATTTTAAGTTATATTTTTCAGTCATATTAAGTTATATTTTAGTAATTTTAAGTTATATTTCAGTCATTTTAAGTTATATGTCAGTCATTTTAAGTTATATTTCAGTCATTTTAAGTTAGTTATATTTCAGTCATTTTAAGTTAGTTATATTTCAGTCATTTTAAGTTATATTTCAGTCATTTTAAGTTATATTTCAGTCATTTAAGTTATGTTTCAGTCAATTTAAGTTATATTTCAGTCATTTAAGTTATATTTCAGTCATTTTAAGTTATATTTCATTCATGCTCGTGTGAAAATTTTGGCACAATTTAATAAAAACAAACTTAAAGAACATATGCAATTTTGTAAAAAACGATAGGTAGACGTCTTAGATATCTGTGGAACCTGTGGAACCAAAATACCTAAAATGTTAAAAACCAATCATTCAACCCAATACATCTAAATCCCTTAGCTGAAGTAAGAAATGGTGTGTTGTGAACACAGACTAACCAGACTACAATTTAAATTACCTAGCTGAAGTAAGAAATGTTGTGTTGTGAACACAGACTAACCAGAATCCGCTTAAGCTCTACCTGGATAGGGTAAGGAGGCCTGAAGTGTCCCGGTTACAGATTCATGAAAGGCTTTTTACTGCCATCTAACGGCCACTTGTTGCATATAATACCCGTTCGGGTGTTAAGTTGTACAACTTTTATTAAAGAAATACTCCAATTTTTAACATAAAATATAACATTTATGAATTAAGTTTTTGAAGATTTTGTATTTCGTATCCAAAGGATCCTTAAATATCCCTGAATACAGATGTTTGCTAATTGGTCGTGTGAGTCGTGTACATTCATTGGGATTAGATTTTTTCTAGCTTTTTGAAAAATTCTTGATATTTTGCAGCCTGCATATTACATATTGCAAATCACAATTTTAAAAATTATTTTTCTTCCCCTCCCCTCATTCCCCTTTATTTTCCCTCCCTCATTCCCCCCTCCCTCATTTTCCACACATTCCTCTTATTCCTCTCCCCCTGCCCCTCCTTTCCCACCCCCCTCATTCCCTCATTATCCCCATATCCCCGCCACTTTCATTGTAATCTGTTCCTTCAATCTTGAACATTATGATGTAAACTTCTTTTATTATGATTAAATAAGTATTTTTAGTCAAACTTATTTTCCTCTAAAATATGAAAACTTCAATTCTGAAAAGTGTGGTCTCATTTGTCAAAGAATCCCCAAGGAAACTTTTCGAATTTTGTTTTATTTATATTGTTTTTCTGCAATTTTTTTTGTGTAGTCAGGATTGGGTGCGGCCACTGAGAGAGCCCAAACATTTGAAAATGCTCAGGCAACAAGCCTAAAAATTACATTTTTCAAAATTGAATATGGATTGGAAACATGTTTTAAAAAGAAAATTCATATTTTTAATAAACTGACAAGCTTTTTTCTTAAACATTGGCGCAGTACGATTATATTAGGCATCTTATGGAAAGTTTTTAGGAGAATCTGGAGAGTTTAGAGAATACAGCTCTAGTATCTAGTTTAATCCATGTTTAGCCGAGAACCTGGAGAAACTGGGACCTGATAAAAAGCCTATACCTCTATAGGACGGAAGAGAAACAAGCTCCAGTATACCATTTAATCCATATTTAGGTGAGAAGGTTAGAGGAAGACCTGGAGAAGTTAGCACGAGAGAGAACCCAGCTCCATATATCTAGTTTAATCCATGTTTAGTGTAAAACGTAAGCCTATACCTCTAGAACGGAAGAGAAACAAGCTCCAGTATACCATTTAATCCATATTTAGGTGAGAAGGTTAGAGGAAGACCTGGAGAAGGTAGCACGAGAGAGAAACCAGCTTCAGGATCTATTGTATTCTGCACAGGAGGAGAATTCTAAATTGAATCAGGTTACTTTAAATCAAAAGCTTTTTTGCTCTTTTTCTTTTTCAAATATTTAAAATGAATTGATGTAGTCTCACCCTAATCTAACAGTTGCATGATCCAAGCTGGTGCAACATGCCCTGTCTGTATATTTGCATTCAGTTGTACCGTCCAGTCTGGCTACTCAGTGTAGAGTCGACCCAGGATGTGTTATGTAACAAATTTTGCCTAGCAAGATTACAGTGGTCTAAAGTTTTGTTTTTCCAAAAAGATGTAAGGGAAAGAGAATAACAAAAAATGTTTTAAATTTTCAAAGATTGATAGACCCTTCTCTAACAAAAATATAGATTAGAGACGAGTTTTGATAAAATCATCCCTTGGGAATCCATTTGTTTAATATGATCATATATAATTATATACATCTGTGAGGGGCCTGTCTGATTCACAACTTTACCGGCCTTTAAACCTATATATCTGATCAAGGTTCTTGAGGAATTGTATCCTCATTTTAGAACTATAAGACTCCCGAAATTTAAAAGAGTATTGTGAATGAAACTCCCGAGTTTTCATTTCATTTACTTAACATTTAAGTAGATTTTAATTTGAGAGATTCGAAAAAAGGAGAATATGAAGAAACTAAATTATATAATATTTCATTACAAAAATATATATATCTACAAAACTGCCTAACCCCATTCGTGAAACCTGGGTTTCAAAACTGGTTTTTATAACGATATTCTGTCTTAAATTTTGTTCTCAGTGGTAGGAAACTCGAGCTCAAAATGTAACACATACGTACAATGCCACATACGTAACATGCAATGATAAAAGACACGTCTGTTATTAAATTGAAACTAAATAAAATAAGGATAACTCCTTCATTCAGGTTTTAATTACACAACTGTGAATCTTACATGCCAGATACACAAATGGAGATTCAGTTGAAATAAATTCCACACACGCACCTAGCTCTGACCCTTTAAGTAAATTCAACCTAAAGTCTGACAGCGTCAACCTTGTTGCACCGGCTAGTCATGGGCTAGTCCTATTAAGTTTCTGCTTAATTTACCGGGCGATACAGCACAAACTGGGACCGGAAATGTTGACCCGGCTCGGAAATTCAAATGTACCACGGCTGCCCGTGCACAGTCTCTTAACGTCTGAAAAAAATATTTCAGAAATGTCTGGTTCAAGAAAATCTGAATATGGAGAGGGAAACTACAAGAGAGGAAATACTCACCAGGGTAAGTCATTCAAATATAAACTTTCAGTATAAAAAATGTCGTTTTTAAAAAAAGTATTTTTTTTTATCTAAAATATCTAAAAATAAACTTTAGAACAAGGATGTTTTAATGTTTAAAGCGCACAGTCATACAGAAGTTTTCTGACGCCTTTTTGCGTCAGTGAAGAGAATTGGGTTTAATGTGTGTTTACAACCTGTGCTGTTGAGGTGGTTGAGGAGTGCGGTCACGTGACCGGAAGCTATGATACGCCAGACTGGGCAGAAGCTGACCTTCAAGAACTTTATAGTGTTGTTATTCAACAACTTAATACACAGGAATATATTGATAAAAATAACAAGAACAACAATAAATGTGTGGAAACAATGGTATTTCTTGGCAAATCCTTTCATCTGATTTAACCATTTGGAATAAGGACTTTCTTAGTTTTAGGGTTGGGGGAGCAGGGGGAAGGGGGAGAGAATATTTCTCTAAATATTTTTGTTTTGAATTTTCAACAATTTGATTGATGACATTTTACTGGTTACACACACAAACTTTGAAAAACTTGAAAACAAGAAAAATTTGATTTATTGCAAGAATTTGTCAAAAAACACATGAATAATTTTATGCGAGGAAAGGGGATATAGATGCAACAAAGATGTGGACATTTTTTTTGAAGTTTGCCATTTTTATTAGTTTTAAAATTCAAGACAATCAATCATGAAAATTTCTATGAAAAAATGAAAAAATGAAAAAGTCTTTACAAAATTAACAATCAAGTATTGTCAGGATGTTAGCACTACGCCCTTCTGCAATGAAACGGTATGTTGATTATTCTTATTTTTTTACGTTTTGCCAGGTAGGTTAGGTTAGGTTTGAATATAAATAATGAATTACAGCTAAATCCTAAATGAGCTATACATCGGAAACATTTATCAAATGTCGTCTTGACTCTTTTTCAACGGATTTTATACAATTTTCCGTAAATCTCAGTATTTGCGAAAATAAATAAATAGCCATAAATATGCGGGAACAGTTTTAAAGAGCTCCTTATAATTATTTAATTAAAAAAACTAAATATCTGCAACATTCCATTATCAGAAAGTGAAGAATACGACATTTGATGAGAATTCTTTCGATGTATTTTATATTTAAGGTTAAACTGCAGTAAAAACCTTTGTTGGTACAATAATAGCCTGGATGACAAGAAAAACCAAATTTTGTCGACAAAAACCTACAACCAGTGATGGTCTGCAGACAATAAATTATTGCATTTTTTAAGCTTTTAAGTTTTTTGGACTTCTAAATGGTTTCATAAAAATCTTTAACAAATTTCTAAATCATTTAATCCTAACATTTAGTTTTCTCGCATTATGCAAGTTTTAGCAAGGAAAGGATTAGTTTTTTCCTTAGATTTCTTCCTAGGAGACAAGTTTAGCATATACTTAAAAAAGGTTTTACAGAATAAAGTGTTAAAATGTTGAAACCTTTTTTATGGAACAGTATTCTGTGAAGCCGTTATAAAGTCCAAGAAGCTAAAAGATTTGAAGAAACAGACCAAGTTTTTTCTGATCAAATGTACTATTTCAGCTTATACCCTAAAGAATTACAATATAAAAAAGACAATTACACTGAAACCGATGCAATAAATTCAAGAAATATGAGAAAAATTAAATCAAAACCCTGTGTGCTTACAATGGAACATGTAAAAAATTATCCTGAAAAACTTGCCAAAATATTAAAAGTCAAAACATTTCAACAGGTTGCCTTGTTTTTGGGTACCAAATACAAATAAAAATAATTGTTTGTAGCTGCGAACTTTGCTGGAGGAGCTGATAAAAGAAGGAGATGTATCAAGGAGAAGGAGAGAAGAAGAGTACAGGTTAGAACTCACGCAACTCTCATTTACGCATGCTCATTCAGCGGTGAAAGTTTATACTCAAGTCAATATACAAGCAACCATTTACAAGGTTCAGTAGAGATCTTTTCTTTGGTCCTGTGTATCTTAATTATTCTAGTTTAATTTTTTTCGTCATGTTGAAAGCAAATTTAAGATATTAGGTCTGAAGCAACAATTGAGCTAGTGTAATGAACAAAATTGATATAATATCTAACGGTTGGATGGTTTCAATTAGCTCATTTAATATATTGTAAAGTTTCATAAAGAGATCACAACATTTCTAGTTCTATATTTTTTAATTGATAATATCAGTTGAAAATATTGATTTTAGATTTTACCATACCCACGCCATGTACTGGACCAGCCACATGAATTTCACTAGATTTCACTGATTAATTTGGTGTGTCGTCCCGTTTTGCCCGTTTATGTGTACTGAACACCTTACATTAGTTGCTGAAAAGTCGGTAATGGTATTTAATATGTACCGGAGTTTACAGTGCAGCCTTTACATATTGGCATACACAGTTAAACCATATTGAAAATCTGAATTTACCTAAAACAAATGTGGTCCGAATGAATCAGCCCCTAATATTTAGATTAGAATGTGCAATCTTGATAAAACTTTGAAAAAACCCCTTTGACATTTATTTCAACAATTCTATTTCTATCAATTGTATTATTGATTGATAAATTGATTAAAGGAGATCCAGTCAAAAACTGCTAGTATTCGAGCTATCCGGATCAAGATTATATTGGTGTATTGATAGAAAGTTTAATTAAATGACTTTATTGATTTGATTGATTGATTGATTAGTTGATTGATTAGGAATGAATTGAAGGAGAGCCAGGCAGAAACAGCAAGTATGCGAAATGCCCTGGTTAAGAGTATATTGGTGTATTGATATATTGTCTAATATAAAATCAAATTGATTGATTGATTTATCAGGGAAGAATTGAAGGAGAGCCAGGCTGAAACAGCAAGTATGCGAGCTGCCCTGGATAAGATTATTTTGGTGTATTGATATATTGTCTAATATAAAATCAAATTGATTGATTGATTTATCAGGGAAGAATTGAAGGAGAGCCAGGCTGAAACAGCAAGTATGCGAGCTGCCCTGGATGAGATGAGAAGGAGACTTGAAGAAGCTCAGAGGTCTAATCTGGAGATGGAGCAGAGAATTCAGGATGAAAGGGTAGGCCTACATATTTGAAACATTATGGGGATATATTATGATGAGGATTGATGATATATTCACATCTAACATCATTGATACACTTTAATAGAAAGATTTTGATTAATCCTTAAAAAATTTAATTATTGTTCAATCAGATATTTTTTGGAAAAACTTGAAAAATTAATCCCTGTTCTTTAGAAACAGTTTCAGGTGATTTTCTTAAAAAGTTTGTTTCTAGCTTGATATAGCTTCATAACTATAGTGTGTCTGCATAACTAATATTTTGAAGGACATCTATTAATAAGAAAATAGTACTTAAGTTAGAAAAGGCTATTTTCACTGCTTTTCTCTGTTCATCCATCTTATATAAGATTTTCCTAACCTCCAATTGGTTCTTGAAACTCTAAATGTTCAGGCTGTTACTGAGAGGGTTGAGAGAGAGCGAAGGGAACTGCTGGAGAATATTCAGAGCTGTAAGCACAACGAGGTTTGGACATTATTCATATATCTATATATATATATATATATATATACTTAAACACTTGTTTAAATCAATTATCTGATATTAATTTTAGTGAGGCCATTAATGTTAAAGTCAATGGAATAATGTTATTGATGTTAAGGTTGATTTGAGCGATGATATTGAGGTATACAGGAAAACTCTTGAATACCAAGGGAAGATTAACTGGAAACATGGAGGAAGGTAAAAAATAAACTTATTACTTTCATTATCATGAATTTTTCAACCCCTCCCCCCACCTACTCCTTTCACCTCAAAATAATTATATTTTCAATATCTGCCATTGTTTTCATCTTAAAAACCCACATTTTGTAGTCGGGTATATGAAAATTTCAAAGTTGCAACTTGCATAGCACTTGATTTTGATTTCTGTATTAAAGGAGTATCTTGCAAATTCCTAATTTTTTTTTGACATAATGAGAATACGGTGATTTGCATTCAGGTCTAGGCATAGCAGTGGGGGTAGTTCAAGCTCTAGCTCTAGTTCTAGTTCTGGTGCTAATGGAGATGATAAAACTACAAAATTGATCAGGTAATCAGAGTTATTAGTAGCATCATTATTTTTATCCATATTCAATATCAATATCATTATTATAATTACTCAAACAATTTTTGACAGTTTATTACACTTTCATAAGATATCTGTAAGGTTCACAGCAAAAGCCCAAAAGATGAAATACATTTTTACAGGCCCAATTAGTGGCATCTTTTAGAGGTTCTTAGTTTACCCTCAGAAAGAAGGATGTATATATATTTAATATTTGCAAGTTATTCAACAACACCATTACTTACAGGGTTCCTCGGCTTTAAAATGGGAGATCAATTGTTTCTTTTTTGCAAGACACAATTTAAACATACATTTTTGTGGCTTAGGATCAATCCAGCGTCTCTGCCATCCCGCCCTCCAATCTCTTCTAGACCACCCTCATCTCAAGGTATACTTTTTTTATCTTATCTTTTCATTTATAGATTTACTATGTTCAATCGGGTTCAATCATTGTTCTAAATAAGCCTAATGATAAATCCTCCAAAGTACGCTGTATTAGCATATCAAAAGATGTGGTCCACATAAATATATGTAAATGATATTCTAAACCTTCATGAAGATATCTAACAAAATATAAATATTTTATACTTTATAATCACAAAAATAGGTTTTTACTGTTTAGCGACATAGAATAAACATTTGAGATGTTTATATATACATATATGGATTGGGTAGCAAAATAATATAGAGTTAAAGATCTTTCTATGTATTGGATTGCAATACAGCACACAATGAACATTTAGGATGTGTGTATGTATATATGTGTATTGGGGTTTAAAATAATAAATAGATAAAGATATATCTGTGCTGTATCAGATTGCAATACAGCACACAATGAACATTTAGGATGTGTGTATGTATATATATGTGTTTTGGGTTTTAAAATAATAAATAGATAAAGATATATCTGTGCTGTATCAGGTTGCAATATAGCACACAATGAACATTTAGGATGTGTGTATGTATATATGTGTATTGGGTTTTAAAATAATAAATAGATAAAGATATATCTGTGCTGTATCAGATTGCTATAAATGTAATCTAGAAAATATTATGTTTAGTTTCAGTGGATATATACTTCAAGGCTATAAAACATATCAAAAGTAAATCATTTTTTTCTTCTTCTACAAATGATTGCCAAAATATTAGATAATATTCTGAGCAAATGTATTAAACATTTCAACCTTTAAATATTTTCCGACAAATTACAATTGCATACATTTTCTGAAACAGAGGTGCCAGGTCTCAAACAAAAAATGAGCTTATTAGATTAAACTGTTTAAACATCAATAAATCCATCAAACAGAGGCCGAATTTAAAGAATTTGAGCCGCGGCTTAAATTTGAAACGCAGCTCAAATATGGTTGGTTACACTCAAAATTTTATTCAATGTTTCGAGATTAAGCCGTTGCTCAATAGAAACCGCTTTTTGTCAGATTTGAGACGTAGCTCAAATTCATTAAATTCGGACTGGGGACCGATTTTAATGAATTTGAGCCAGGTCGTTGAACTACAACAAAGCCAATGCATGGTTGAACAGTCTTTAGACCTAGCTTAGATAAATAAAATCCGCCCTTAAAAATAAATGTAAAACTAATCTTAACTTTATGTCGATCCAATGATATTGACTAAGCTGCCCGATAATTTACTGAAAGACTAAGGCTTGTTTGCTACGAGTACAACCTAGCGGTCAACTGTAGAATAAAAAATATCCATGAAACAATCAGTTGACTAGAGATTGACATCGTTTTTGAGAACAATTGAATTTTGTGAACGAACGAAATTTTTCATGAACGATAGTGTCGTTCAGAAAAAAAGATTAAATTATGAAAACGAAAAACAACGAACATTTCAAATTCGTTCAAACGATTTTGAAAATTATCGTACTGAACAAACGATTTCTGGTGTTGGCTGATCCTCAGAGCACCCTGGTTGATCTTAATGGAACTGTCGGCGTAATTTGAAGTTACTCTCAATGCTATGATTGCAATGCCGAATTCACAACGGTACCCTTAAAGCCTTATTCTGGTCAAGTGTGAAATAGATATCAACGTATAAATTTTGAAAATTGAACATTTTCAGTTGTGGTTTCTCTACAAACTTGAATCGCACATTTCTACTTCAGGAAAATATATATGAATTTTTAGAATTGAGTACTTTTAAACAAACCTAGAAAAACGACAATTTCTTCAACACTTTTGATAGGATAAAGGTTTCAAGGGTACCGTTGTAAATCGGCATTATCATTTTTGCAAGAAGAGTCACTAGATTACTCTTACACTCCTTTTAAGTTAGGAACTTCTAGATAAAGCCTAGATTTATATTTCTAATTTATTTCTGCTGGAGGACGGCGGGTAAGTGTTGGGTTAACCGGCATGGGAACCTCGGGATCTATTGCCAGCAACTCTGGACCAGCCGGTCAACTTTCAGGACGAAGATCATTTAGCACCAGGTAACTGTGGAACACATATATCCAGTGTTGAATTTTGATTATGTCATGTTGATTGAGAATAAATGTTTTACAATAAAACCCAGAGATTTAGAATTAAAAATCTTTTTCTTAAACCTGTGCACAAAACAATCTCTATATTTGGTTTTTTACCTCATCATTTTCTATTGAAGATGAAAGTTAGAAATTCTGCAAGTTCAGAAATTACTATGAATAAAATGATCATAATACAAGGAGATGTAAATTTCGAAAATTCAAACTTTATGTAGATACATTATTTATATTGTATGTTTATTTTATATAATTAACAAAATTTGACACCACAAATAATTCCCGAGATTTTAAATGTACAAATATGAAAGATTTTACGAAATTTACGATCAGCTGCTGAAGACTCGAGCCTTAAAGAGAAAAAAACCCAAGATTGTTGGTTCTTACTAAACATTGGGCCATCCAAAACCCAGGTTTTGACTTGAGCTTTACTTTGGTCGATAAGCAGATGCAAAGACCGGGTTTTACTCGGGTTTAAGCTTTTAAAATCTCCTTGTACTTGTCTTATTCTTAAACGGAAACCTTGCATTCTAAAATTCTGGGCTGATTTAAGTCGAAAAATAACTCAGTGTTAAAATTTTATAATAAAATATAAAAGAGAAAATACAAAGATAAAATTAACCTGTAAATTTTAGGACTAAAACAATTCTTGATTTGGTATTTAACTTTTTTTTTAATAACAGTGTTTGATTGATTAATACTATATTGCAGGACCATGGAGAGGAATGAAACCAAAGTTCAATCCTTCCAATCTTCCACAGCCAAATCCGGGCTTTCAAATCTCTAATCCTTCCCAGCCAAATCCGGGCTTTCAAATCTCTAATCCTCCTCAGCCAAATCTGGGCTTTCAAATCTCTGATCCTCCTCAGCCAAATCTGGGCTTTCAAATCTCTAATCCTTCCCAGCCAAATCTGGGCTTTCAAATCTCAAATCCTCCTCAGCCAAATCCGGGGTATCAAATCTTTAATCCTCAACAACCAAATCCAGTGTATTAAATATTATGATTTAAGAAAAGTTTTTGGACGATTCACCAGCGTATTAATTGAACTTTGAATCGGTGATTCAAGATTTAAGCAAGTAAGCACCAAAGAGATAGTTGAGCTAGTTCAGTGGCCTTTATACAATTAATTGAATTTTGTTCCCCAAAAAAATAAATCTCTAATCCTTTTAAACTAAATCCAGAAATGTGTCTGCGTAAACGTTTTTCAACGTTTTTACTCAGAAAATTATTCAAATTTCACAAATCTGGAATTAATCCTAATATATTATGCTGTAATGCTACGCTCTCAGATCAATATCCTTTAAGATTCACAATTAATTATGCTTTTCTTTGATTAGCTATTCGAGTAGGTCCAAAAACCGTAAAAAATGTGATTTTACATTTATCTGCTATGTTGATTTTTGCATTTGTATCTCCATATTTACTAATTTGCTCTATATAGCGTATACATTTATCGGAAAATTAACCAAAATAATGATTCTTCTATTCCTATTTCTATAATAATTCTATGTTTCTATTTATAAAATAATATAATGTGATTTGAAATTAAATAAAATTCAATATTTTATTTTTTGTTATTTTAATTTGTCCTCCATAAACGTTTAATGAACTTTAAGAGAATAATGTTGTGATTTTAAAATGGAGGGTTCGCTTGAAAATTCGTGGAAAGTCCCTTTAACGATGGCTTTGGATATTTTAATAACTTAAGAAGGGTTAATGGAGGAAGGGTTAACCCCCCGCCCCCTCTCCCTCCCTTCCAAAATTAAACTATTAGAGGAGTGGCTAGTGGAGTCTTTGTTACAAACTCTTATTTTTTAATCCTGCATCTTTGCAACCCGATGTCGTAGATATTTCAAACATTAGTTTTTCAATCAAAGGTCTATGTTGCTAGGTGGCATAAATATAGGGATTGTGAAATTTGAGATTATGGCAAAGAATTAATCTCTTTGTACATTTTTTCACTCTCACTCTTCATTTTAGCAATGTCTTTATTGTGAATTGTCACTTTAAGTTCCGTTTTCAGGAAACAATCGTCTCTGTAAATCTTACATTTATCGCTGCGCATTTCCAAATTGAATCTCTATTCTCTAATAATTAAATACAAATACCGTTTAAAGGGACAGACCGGCTATGTAAGGTAGTTGAATTGAGTATGCATTGGACAATTCTTTAGGATTCATTTGAGACATATAAAACTTTTTAAAGATCTGTAAATCCTGAGTTTGAGCGCAAAGTCGACGTTCAAAATCGTACATTTTGGTGGATACGTTTTCAGAATTGTTTTTTAAATCATTAAATAACGACGACAAAAAATGTAAACAAAATTTTACAGTAAACTAATTAGTTGTTTAGGAACAGATTGAGAAAATAAAAATTAATCTTATCATCAAAAATAAGTAATCTTGTTCAATTATTAGTTTCTATTTTCTCATTATTCCAGTTTCTCATTATTCACAAAGATTTTCTTCAGATTTTCTGGAATTATTATTGAAAAGACGACATTTGAAGAATTTGTAGGAATCTGCGAATAAATTCACAGAAAATCAGAAATTCAATAAAATGATGAAATCGAAATAATTGATTCTAGCATTGATTTATTGACAAATTGTTTTTGATAAATATGTTCCTAACCATCTAATAAGTTTACAGTATAATTTTTACTTTATTTTTGTCGTCGTTATTTAATAATAAAAAAACACGTACCCACTCAAATATCGTAATATCGTAGGATAGTTTTATATATCCTAAAGAATTTGTCCACAACACTGCATCATCAGTTTAACTACCTTACATAGCCGGTCTGTCCCTTTAAAGGTTGGGCAAGGTTTTTAATTATTTCTTACATGATCTCTGTAGCAATAAATCCAGAAGTTATCTTTATAGAGAAACCACGATTAAAACACTATATAGGATATTTTTTCTCAATTAACATAAGATTTGATCTTGTCAAGTAAGGTCAATAGGAATCATGGCTCTGTTTGTGAGAATTGTTCTTCTAAGGGGGGGGGGGGAGGGGACTAGCTTCTCTGTGTGCTTGAAATAATGTAGAACAAGAAAACAATATAATTTGTTTAATTATTATTTGTACAAACATTAATATTGTGTTGGTGTATGACGTAGGACATTACTGCATTATATACATAATTTAGAATTAATACAGTATACAGGGTGTCACATAAATTTGGCCATTGTACACCACAAAACTGGGTGTCATTATAGCTACCTTACAACACAGGCGGGGCGAGAACCAAGGGTCTAACTGTAAGTGCTTTTGTACAGCAGTGGTTTAAACGTTCGAATCCAAGGATCAATATATTTTTTGTTCGAATCTAATAACATAATAACATGTTTTTCATTTAATTTTTAAAAGTCCGCGGTCTTTAAGTGTAAAAACACGTGTAAAGAATTTTAAGAAGAAGAAAAATTTTACCTCGAAATTTTGCTTTTAAAAATAAACATCTTATTGATGTACTTTTTAACATATAAATTGTTATTGAATTTATAAAAATTGTAAATTGAAGAATTAAAATATTCCAGTTAAAGGGACTGTAAGCGTTAAATCACGTGAGCTGTTAAATAAACGAAAAAAGTCAATACTTTGAATGTGTGCGCGAAGCACAAAAGAAAAAAATCCGTTCTTCTGAGTTCTAGTGTTTTTCCCTCATTTTAAGAATATATCTTGCTATCTCTTTCTTGCGTCAGTTAGTCCCTGGTTTAATGATATTCACTATGGGTTTAGAGTCCCCTATTATAGTCTACAGCAATTTTTTTGTTATTCATCCACTATGTAGTTCTTTTTGTATATAAGTTGCTAGGCGACGCGAGCCCCCCCCCCCTTTAGTTGACTGTGAGTACCTTGAAAAGAAGTTACGACGAATATAGAAAGAATCTGTGAGCTGGTTTAAGAGATATTCAAAACGATGAAAAAAAAATCAGAAAGAACAATTTAGCAACTCTCAAGTCAACAAAATAATAAATCTTTATGATTAATTAACAATAAACAATCTATATACATACTTTGCTTGTCTGGGTGTTTGACTGTTTGTATCCAATAAACGTCAAAACGGCTGAACCGATCGGGCCCAAATTGTGTGTGGGACCTCTCGGGACCCCAGGGAAGGTTTATGGATGATCAAAAATTTAAAAATTAGACTCCGACAAAATTCGATTTTTATTAAATTTTGAAAATCCGTGAATTTTTTTGTTTTTCTTTTACAATGTAAACAAAGAGAAAATGTTTACAATTGAAAAAGGAGATTGACGCGAAGCGCCCTGAGAGCCTAGCAAACATGAAATAACTAAAAACTTTCAGAACACTCTGTAGCATGCCGACATACCTTGGGGATTAGGTTGGGAGGGAAGATTTAGCTAATTAACTAATTATATTAAATACATTAATTACATAAAATATATTATTAATTACAGCACGCGCTTACAAATAATTATATTTATATACTTAGTTTATATTATTCCCAGCAGAGTTTATAGAATAATAATACACATTTTTCCTTCTTCAAATCTACAGCTGATGCATGGAGACTTCAGATGCAGAAGACATATTTTGACCTTGCAATCGTCATATTTTATCAGTTTCAGGTCGTCTTTACAGTCTTACCCTGATAGAACGTATTTGTTTATTTATTTATATGGTTACACATCAACAGATATATTTTAGACTAAAAAATTATTGGTTTTAAGGGTTTTTGTAAACATAATTTTTAGTGATCTTAGATTTAAAAAGTTGTATTTTAACGGTACAAAATAACGATTATAAGATATCACTGTTTTCTTTCTTAAAAAGAGTTCAGCCTTATTTTCCGTTTGCAGACTTTAATAAATATTTATGAGAATGTTAGGCTTCTAACTTAAAATATTTATGAGAATGTTAGGCTTCTATTTAAAATATTTATAAGAATGTTAGGCTTCCAACTTAAAATATTTATGAGAATGTTAGGCTTCTAACTTAAAAATGTTGGTTTTTATCGATTTTTTTCATGGCTTTAGAAAAATCAAATTTGTTAAGACAAATTTTTTTTAGATTCTGATTATCCAAAAATATTCCCTGCTGGGGTCATTTCAGCTTTCCCTCAAAATGTTTGGGCTCGATCGGTTCAGCTGTTTATTGTATACAAACAAATAAACACCCACACAGACAAGCAAAGTATATCTATAGATTAAAGCTATCTAGATAAATATCTTATTTTTAGGGATGCATCAGTGAGAGTTTTGTAAATATTATTTATACAATCTTGAATTTTCATTATATTTAAGAACAAACATCAACTCTTTGTATTTATGTGTTTCACCCTTTTTGTATCACGTACTCCCTCTTTACATTTAGAAAATGAATAAAATGTCGGAACTGCGCTAAACGTTTGATTTATATCTCAAGACATTAAAGAGGAGCCAAGAAATCAAAGAAGTTTTATAAAATAAAAAAGTATTAAAATGAAATATATTCGCAAATGTCTGATCTATTAAAAGACGTTTCTAGAAAATTAACATTAACCTTAACATTAACATTAATATTAACCTTAACATTAGCATTAACATTAACATTAACATTAGCATTAACATTAACATTAACATTAACATTAGCATTAACATTAACATTAATATTAACATTAGCATTAGCATTAACATTAACATTAATATTAACATGAACATTAACATTAACATAAGCATTAACATTAACATTAACATTAACATTAACATTTACATTAATATTTACATCAACATTAACATTAACATTAACATAACATTAACATTAACATTAACATTAACATTAACATTAGCATAACATTAACATTAACATTAACATTAACATTAATATTAACATTAACATTAACATTAACATTAACATTAACATTAACATTAACATTA